CCACGACTCACCCCCCTTCCCTTTTCACAATCCACCACTCTCACTTCCCCTCTCGGTTTTCTTTATCACCCCCGTTTCCCCTCCCATTAGCATCCATCCCCTTTCCCTTCCACTCGGCCCCACCCCACTTCCTCTTTTCTCATTGTCCACACACCCCTCCCTCCTCGTCTCATGTTAATGCCACCTCTTTTTTCTAACCCACCCTTCCTTCTCTTTCCCCCCCTCGTCCATCCCTCCCCCCTCTCCCATCCCTACCTATCCCTTCCAGCCAAAGACCTTTTCAACCGGGCAGTTCTCTTCACCTCCACGTCGACCTCCTTTCTCGCTCACGTCATGTTCATGCCACCCTCTCTAACCCACCCCTCCCTTTCTTCCCTCCCTCCCCTCTCTCTCATCGCTTCCCCCCATCCCCTACAGCCAAGGACTTATTCAACAGAGCAGTTCTCTTCATATCCACTTCAACCTCCGCTCTTGCTCACGTCATGTTCATGCCACCCAACGCCACGGTCCTAGAGCTTCGGGCCGTTCTAGACCCCAATGCCGCCCAGAAAGCAGGCTCGGCAGCAGCTGTAGCAGCGGATCCGGATCTGCCCACCAGGCAGCTCGCAGAGGCTTGCGGGCTTCGGCATTATCTGCTGCTCTGCGCCGCCCAGCCCGACCCCAAGCCGACCAATGGGAACGCGCCGCTGCGCAGCGGCTTATCTTGCGACATGTGGCACGTGCGCGATGTGCTGGATAGGGTATCGCACGACGTGTACACCAGCGAGGTGGTAACCAGAGATACTGTCCGAGCCATCGCAGGTCCGGCGGGCGGCAGGTTCGGACTAAAGCAGAAGCTGATTGGGACGAAGCTGAGGTCCGGGGAGGAGGTTCGGGCGTTCAACGATTGGATGACATGCGTTGCGAAGCAGGGTCGGTGGGATTACAACGCGACTCCCCGCGTGTTACCTTGGGAATACATGGGGAACATCAACCTGTGCGACCACCGGCATTGGGACGCAACACAAGGGCTCATGAAAAAGGAATCTGATGAGTATGCTCTGTCGGGAGGAGACCCCGAGAAGTGGACGGTACGGGAGAGTCTTAAGTACGACTGGAGGGTGCATGGCAGCTGCCCTATGCCCGTTCAGGATCAGGCCTGGGTGCCGTTTCAGCCGACTGATTTCTGCAGCAGGGTCGGCAAGAATCGGACGATTCTGTTCCTGGGGGATTCCCTGAACGAGCAGTTTTTCGGGATTTTCATCAACCAGATGTTGAGATATGTGCCAAAGCCGGCTGACTGGGCGGTTAAGGAGTCAAAGCCCAAGTTCTGTGTTGACTGGGTCAACAACACGGAGATTCGGCACGAGTTTTGCCGGACCATTGAGTTTGCTGACGAGATTTGCCCGGGCCTGAAGATTTTGTTCATCCGAAGCGACCACCTGTGGCTCGGCGCGCCGAGGCACTTCAGCGAGCTACAGTGGACGCGCATGCCGGAAGTTGCCCACTCCGATATTATTATAATTAACCGTGGAGCGCACTATACGGTGAACGAAGTGTTCGAGCCGGAAGTGCGAACGGTTATGACTTACCTCCGAAACCGATGGCCCAAGAAGCTGATCATATACCGCAACTCCCCGCCCGGCCATGCTGACTGCGAAAACGCAACGGTTCCGATTTCGAAAAGGCAGGATCCGAGCATTCTCCCTTACAACTGGGACAAGCTGAGTCAGCAGAATGAGATGGCACGTGGAATGGCTGAGGAGCTGGGGATAGTGTACATGGATGTGGATTCGATGACGGCTCTACGGCCAGATGGGCACAAGGGATGGAAGCCATCGATCCAACGGCTGGATTGCTTGCACTACTGCACTCCTGGACCGTTGGATTCATGGATGGACATCTTGTACAATACCCTGCTCAGGACTCTGCCCCCTTTGCCTTAGGTACTGCTGTTGTGAAGGATTTCCACTCTATTTATTATCAGCTTATATGACTAGGGTACTTTTTTTTTGTTGTATTTTATGGAGAATATTGGCAGGTAGGAGAGTTCACTGCTTTTGGCTGACACCGTACCGTACTTGAGAGGTTGTGGCTGCTACCGTACATCAGAGGTTGGGTTGCTAATCCAGTGGATGAATGGCCCCGTGAGAGTGCTGTTTCAAGTTTGGGGAATGCAGGTTGTGGTACATCTGGTCTGGTGAAGTGAGCACTGTGTGTGATGTGAAAGTCCTTAGTGGTCCTAGGACTGAGAGAATGGGATACGCAATCCTATCAGCAAGGTACTACAAGAGCTGGGCAAGAATGTGAAGAGCCAAGCAAAAAGGGGGATCAGTAAAAAACTAAAAACGGTACGAATGATGCGCATCCGGGGAATCGAACCCCGGTCAGTACCGTGGGAGGGTACTATGATACCACTACACTAGATGCGCATGTAATGGTCATACCAATATAATTATAATAATAATTTACCTGAACTACAAAACAGCCAGGTGGTTGCTTGACATCAGTGACACACCTGCGCCGCAAGCTTCTCTGTAGAGTGCCTGTCCTCCCTGAGTGCTTCCTGCCCTGTGCTCTCCTGTGTGACCTGTCACCTGTCCATCCCACGCAAGAGAAACCTGTCCTCTTGGGGGTGTGCCAAAACGTTCGTTTTCGCCCAATCTTTACCCAACCGTTCTAAAACGCTAGTACATCCCTGTAGAACGTCAACAATCTCTCCAAGCCGCACCCAAACGTACTATTCAGACACGCCCCCTAACCACCCGCCCATCCCCCCGACCAAACCGAACCGAACAAACCGAACCAAGCTTGTCTGCTTGCTCCTCCCCTCTCCCTCTTCACCTGTCGGTTGATGCCTTGGTTAGGTGCGCTGCGGGAAAATGTGGGTCTCCCCTCCCCGATGCAGTTAGGGCAGGAAGATCGTCGCGGCTCGAGACGATTAAGCGCCAGTTAAAGAGCTCAGTGCGGCACTACAATGAAACGAGTCGACGAGTAGTGTGAAGGAGCACATGTGTTACAGTTGATGAGTTGTGTCCGTAGCCTTGGCACGCTAGATTGGAGGCATTGGGCATTGTCTTGAAAATTCTTCAGAACAGCCGGGCTAGATTGTATTACAGTCTCTTGCAATCCTAAGACAATGGCGCGGATAGAGTCGTTGCGTTCCACAACGTTGTCATAGGAGGCGCCGCGTGTGCTGTCTCTGATCTTTTCTGATCAGTTTTGATCAGATCTGATCCCATTGCGTATCCTGGATCCTGGTCATTGCACTCCCTTCGTCCGAGCCGCGCATTCCCTCGCCGCTGGATGCGGGCGCGTGCCCTCCTCCCATTCCTCGTCACTACTAGCTAACTTCGGGCGCTGATTTCGCGAACGATATTTTTTCCTCCTCTCATGTGCTCATGGCGCCTCGACCATTCTCGAGGCCGTCTGGCTCGCTGATCCTCCGTATAGTCCTTGTCGTTATAAGCGCATTCGTTATAGGTTCGGCCGGTACACCCACGCGCCCTTCTGCCGATTATCGTCGTCTATCACGTCTGCTGAAGCGACTGGAAACCTCTCCTGTAACGAATCCCCTGATAAAGCTACCGAGCACCCGTTATAATGCTTCTGATTGCTCGTCATTATCCAGCATCGCAGCCGTCGATCGCTTATCGGAACTATCTCCACCGTCCAATTCCTCATCGCCGCGTGATTCGCGGATACCTTTCCAAACCTCCCGATCCGCTAAGGACGCAAATCAGCGGCGACGCTTACAGGTTCTTCAGCCCTCCGGCCGAAGAGCTGGAAAATACTCCCTAGGGAACCCGATTAATCTCTCAAAATTAAAGCTCGTCCGTTTCGCTCCTCTCGCCTCTCTCGCCTCCTCGTCAGACGTCTCTGTTCCAGCCGGATCAGTTTCTTGCAAGGGGAAACCGTGTCCGGATCTTTCCCCCTGTCCCGGGTTCGCCGGAAAGGTCGCCACGTGTTGGAATCCCGCGGACCCGGTCGATCCCGATGCTGACCTGGCAGCGTACGGCCGTACGATTTTGCTGAACCGTACGCAGTCGCGGATCCACTTCAGCACGGGAGTTAACCCGCTGGATCAATGCTTAGAAGACGACGGGACGCAACCAGGCCACCTATTGCGACCCAGCTGTCCTCCTGACGACGATCCGGGACCAATCACCTTGTCGCTTAGAACGGCCGACTTACGAGCCGCGCAGGAGCAGGCGCAGCGGGAGGCGCAGGCGCGGCGGAGATTAAAGTGGGGTAAGGCGGCTAAGAAGGCCCCGGAGCCGGCGGGTGCGCTGTTTGTGCTGAACGACGTGTTTCTGGACGGCGAGGGCCGCGTGTTCAACGCCACGCATCGCTTCGACGTATCAGGCTGCGCCACGTCATCGTCACAGGTGCGTCCGTGCTGCCCGTGCTGCCCGTGAGGGTATTGCAACGTGAAGTCCCGGTTGCTTTTTTGTCGACTGTATTTTGAGGCGCCTCAAAATGTCGGCTCAAAGGTCCCCCAGCTGCGCACGTGCTGTGCTGTGCTGACCGTGCTGCCTCAGGTTGCTGCCTCTGCCAGCAGCAGCCCTTTCTCACTCCCTTTCTCCCTCACTCACTCCTTTCCTTACTCCCTCCCTTTCTCCCTCACTCACTCCTTTCCTTACTCCCTCTCTTTCTCCCTCGCCACCCTTGCTCCCTCCCGTCGCTCCTGGTTGCAATAATTCTCCCTCTCTTCCATGCTTCCTCCTCTCTCCCTCGTTCCCTCCCTCGTTCCCCTCCTCCCTCCCTCCCTCCCTCCCTCCCTCCCTCCCTCCCTCCCTCCCTCCCTCCCTCCCTCCCTCCCTCCCTCTCCCCCTCCCTCCCTCCTCTTTCTCTCCCTCTCTCCTTCCTTTCCTCCATCCCTCCCTCCTTCCCAACCCCCCTCTCTCCATCTCTTCCCTTTCCCCTTCCGTTTTTTTATTGATAATCAGACGGTGTATGGAGTGGACACACACGTGTCTCGCCAGGAGACTGTACTGAATCTGCTTCTACCGGGTCACTTTATGGAGAGGCGTCCCCTGTACGATCAGATTCTCATGGTGCTGCCGCCCCTGCTGCCGCTGCACCATGTGCTGCCGTCCCTGCGCCGAGCCAAAGTCGTCACTCACGCCAAGAAGGTATGGTGCAGTGTGGTGGAAGACGGTAGAATGCGGTAAAGTGTGGCATAAAGTGGTGTGAAGCGGTTCAGTGCGGTAGTATCAGATATAAGGCGTCCTTTGTACGATCAGATTCTCATGGTGCTGCCGTCCCTGTGTCGAGCCAAAGTTGTCACTCACGCCAATAAGGTATGGTTCAGCACAGTGGAATGCGTTTTTTGTGGCATGAAGTGGTCGAGAGTGGTGCATCGAGGTGGAGAGGCGTACCCTGTACGTCAGACCCTGATTGTGCTGCTGTTGATGAAAAGACGCCTTTTCTGCTTCCGCTGCACCACTTGCTGCCGTACCTGTGCGGAGCCGAAATTGTCACTCACGTCAAGAAGGTACGGTGCAGTGCAGTGGAATGAGGTGTTGTGCGCCTCCTGAACAAATTTGTCACACCTCATGTGCAAGACATCCTTATTTTAGTTGCAATTTATGTTCAAATGACAATCACTGTTTGCCCAGCAGATCGGATCTCCTCCAGTCTAAACCCAGACCTTCTCATAAACCCTAAAGCCTCTCCCCTTGAACCCTAAAGTCTCGCCTTCAAACCCTAATTCCTAACTTCTCAATCCTAAAGCTCATCTTACACTCTTCTTCCTCCCTCGCTCCCCCTTCCCCTCCCTCCCTTCCATCCAAACCACAGCTACTGCAGCTGCTCATATCGCAGCTGCTGGGACTGCCTCTAGCGAAGCACTCCTTTCTCTCCACTACCGATGGCACCCCCTCCAGCAAGTACCTGTGGCACGTGCAGACTCTCTACCAGCCAGTCATACCGCACTGCACCAATCCAGACCTCCCTCTCTGGAAGCACTTCCGCCGACGCTTCCTCCTCCCCACCCCTCCCCTCCCAGACCCCACAGCCGATTCCACCACCCCCACTCCCACCCTCTCCTCCTCCTCTTCCTCACGTTCACTCACTGAAGAAAACCCCTCGTCTGCTCTCAGCGACCCCTCCTCTCCGCTAGAGCGTGTGCCGAAGGTGCCGCCTGGGTTCCTGGATGGGGCGCGATCGGTGTTCCCGTCGCTGCCGGCTCTGCCGGTGGAGGGGTACGCGCAGGGAGGGGACCTGCACGGCTCGTGGGTGCCGATCGGGTGGCAGGTGAGAATCTAGGTTTATAAGGTCGCTTTGTTCCTTCAGTCACATGGGTCCCCCCCACCACACTCCGTTCTGTTCTCAGCGACCCCTCCTCTCCGCTAGAGCGTGTGGTGAAGGTGCCGCCTGGGTTCCTGGATGGGGCGCGATCTTTGTTCCCGTCGCTGCCGGCTCTGCCGGTGGAGGGGTACGCGCAGGGAGGGGACCTGCACGGCTCGTGGGTGCCGATCGGGTGGCAGGTGAGAATCTAGGTTTATAAGGTCGCTTTGTTCCTTCAGTCACATGGGTCCCCCCCACCACACTCCGTTCTGCTCTCAGCGACCCCTCCTCTCCTCTAGAGCGTGTGCCGAAGGTGCCGCCTGGGTTCCTGGATGGGGCGCGATCTTTGTTCCCGTCGCTGCCGGCTCTGCCGGTGGAGGGGTACGCGCAGGGAGGGGACCTGCATGGGTCGTGGGTTCCCATAGGCTGGCAGGCAGGTGAGGGTGTTAAGCCGTGTAGGGTTGCCCTGTCTGGGTAGCTCGAAGCATTCTCTATCTATGCTGAAAGCACCTTGCTGCTGGCTCTGCCAGTGTAGGGATACGCACAGGGAGGGGACCTGCACGGCTCGTGTGTGCCCATAGGCTGGCAGGTGAGAGTGTGTGGCGGCTGTCCTACAAGGTCGTTCTATTCCATGTATGCTGCACGCACCTTCCGGCCTGCACTGCTGGTGCATGCTAGTGCATCCTCATGTGTGTGTATGCGAGGTGACTTTAGAGTGGACCCAGAAGTCAGCTTTAGTTGACGCCAAAAGTCGCCATGTTTACACCTCGATGCCTGCACTGCCGGCGCATGTTAGTGCATCCACCTGTGTGTGTGTGTGTGTGTGTGTGTGTGTGTGTGTGTGTGTGTGTGTGTGTGTGTGTGTGTGTGTGTGTGTGTGTGTGTGTGTGTGTGTGTGTTTGTGTGTGCATGCGTGTACGCGTCAATGAACAGGTCGTGGTGGCACATGACTCAATGCGCTGCACCAAGGCCCTGGGGCAGGTAGAGGAGCTGCTGCACCGATACTCACTCTCTTTGCACACCCATGTGTGTCTGTCTGTGCATGTGTGCATGTGCGCTGCTTGTATTGGCAGGTGGTGGTGGCACACGACTCAATGCAATGCACCAAGGCATTACGCCAGGTGGAGGAGCTGCTGCACTGATACTTCCCATATCTCATACCCCTATCTATGCCTGTGCATACATGTCATTGCTGCATGCAGGTGGTGGTGGCGCACGACTCAATGCGCTGCACCAAAGCACTGGGCCAGGTAGAGGAGCTGCTGCACCGATACTTCCCTGCTGACAGAATCGTCGTCTTCTCCTCCAGCAGAAAGATCATGGAAGGTTCGTCTTAAGAGCGTCCGTGTGAGCATGCTGCACGTGTCTGCCAGCATCTCCATGTAAACACGTTCACCTACATCCACCTAGGCAAGCACATATTCAACCAGGCAGCACTCTTCATCACCTGTCTCAGCCACGCCATCCATCACCAACACCATGTTCATGCCTCTCACTCACTCCCCTCTTTTCTGTTCCCTTATTCACATTCACCCAGGAAAGCACATATTCATCCGAGCTGCACTCCTCATAACCTGTCTTGCCCTCGCCACCACCACACCATGTTCACTCTTGCCTCGCAATCCCTTCTTCGCTGTTCCCTATTTCCCCTTCCCCCCACCTTCTCCCTTCCCCCCGACCACCACCCACCACCACCCCAGGAAAGCACATATTCAACCGGGCAGCTCTCTTCATAACCTGTCTAGGCCTCGCCATCACCAACACCATGTTCATGCCGCCCCGGGCGGCGGTTCTCGACCTCCGGCCGCCCATCCCTGTCTCCCACACCACCCGCTACACCCTCCTCTCCCGCTCCTTCGCCTCGGCCAACGACGTCCGCTCTTTCGTCCTCATCTGCCAGCCGGGCGGCGACAATGATGACGTGGCAGCGGGATCCGGCCAATTGGAGTGCAACACGCGGGAGATTGACGATGTCATTGATCGCATAGCTCACGACATCTACACCTCGCCCGCTGCTGTAGCCGCGGCTATGTCCCCGACCCGCGACGCCGAAGCTGCCGCCGAAGCTCTCGCCGACGCCGAAGCTAGCGGCCGGTCGCTGCTTCGGCCGACGGACCTGATCCGAGGCTCGGTGCTTCGGGGACCGCTGCAGGTTCAGAAATTCCGATCCTGGATGAAATGTGTAGGTCAGGAAGGCAGGTGGGTATACGACCCGAAACCCCGCCGATTACCCTGGTGGTTTATGGGGAAACCCTACCAATGTGACTCACCAATGAGCGGGCGGCACCATGGGAAATCATTGGGGGAAGCTGATGAGATTGCGGATGCTAGGGGTGATCCGGAGGAGTGGACAGTTAGAGAAACTCTCAAGTACAAATGGGGTGTGCCGGCTAATGCCTGCCCGAAGGTGCCTGTGCGGTCGTGGGAGGTGGAGGAGGAGGAGACAGAGGGCGGGAGGAGGTATCGCGGGAGGGAGGCCAGAGCGGTGGAGAGCGGTGGGGATGGGCGGGAGACGATGCGGATGACGATGCGATTCTCCCACTCCAGCTGGATGAAATTCTCCCCGGAGAAATTCTGTGAGAGAGTGGGGCGAGGGCGGCTCTTCCTCTTCCTGGGAGACTCTCTGAACGAGCAGCTTTCAGAGGCCTTTCTGAACAACCTTGTGCTGAGTCTCCCGAAACCGGTTTCCGAGGAGCATTTGAGAATGGAGATTCCGAGGTATTGCTCCGATTGGCACAATGATTCGTCGGTCCGGCACGCCTTTTGCAAGTTCTATTCGGTCAGCGATGACGTCTGCCCGGGACTTCGGGCAGCTTACGTGCGAACGGATCAGCTCACCCTGTCGAATCCTCGCCTGTTCGATCGACAGCCGTGGTCCCGAATGGAAGTTATCCGCGAAGCCGATGTTATTATAATCAATCGCGGGCCGCACTATGAAGAGGATGAGCTCTACGCACCGGTGCTTGAACGCGCCCTTATGTACCTCCGAAGCCGCTTTCCAGAAAAGCTCATAATCTGGCGAAACACGCCGCCCGGTCACGCCAACTGCTCCGGTCAGAAAACCCCGCTGAAGAAACGGCAGGATCCGGGGATTTTGCCGTATAACTGGGATAAGTTCGCGCGTCAGAACAAGCTTGCGGAGGTGATTGTGAAGAGGTACGGAGCTGCTTATATGGATGTGGATTCGATGACGGCGCTGCGAGCGGATGGGCATAAGGAGTTTGTGCCGGCAGTTAACAAGGTGGACTGCTTGCATTATTGCCACCCGGGGCCGCTGGATGGGTGGGTGGAGCATCTGTATAACACCCTCTCTTGGCTCATGGCACCTCCTCCTGTTGATGCGTGAAGAGTACGGGTAGGCAGATTCAGAGAAGGAACATGCTGCTGACTTGCAGGGGCTACAGAGGTGACTGCTTGCATTATTGTCATCCGGGGCCACTGGATGGGTGGGTGGAGCACCTGTATAACACCCTCTCTTGGCTCATGGCACCTCCTGTTATCGTGTGAAGGATAGGCGCATGGGCAGAATGTGTATCGTTTGTGAGCAGGGTTACTGTAACTGCTGCGAGTCAAGCCTGTGCTTGCATTATTGTTGCACAAGAGCCAGGACTCCAGGGATAGATGGATGGGATGGGAGGAGCAGCAGAGCAGAGCACGTATAACACACTCTGCTTTGGCTCGTGGCCCCACTGTCTATCCGAAGTGTTAGGAATGGTTATGCATACATAGGTGGACGGATAGAGCTTCACAAACTAATTATCCCTAGTCATCGCGGCCTATTATTCAATAATGGAAAGGAACTGGAGGTCTAGATTTTGGGCGCTGCGAATGGCTGATTACATCTATTACACTCCCATGATACAGTGGAGCTGTACACGACAGTGAGCGTTACATTGCACCATGCTGTGATTGGAGCCATGTCTGAGCCTAAGAGGGTAATTAAAACCTTTCGTGGGTATTTCCAATCTCCCACCCATGCAGTACCACAATCAGCTGTACACAACAGTGAGCTCAGCATTACCGGTACATCGCACCATGCTACACATCCAAATCCTCCTTACTGTAATTACCGTCATTACTTTTTTGCCAACGCCAAATCAAGGGCATTCTCATTTCCTCCCTCCCTTTTGCTTCCAACTACGGTACATCCTCCACCAAACTACCCACCCACCTCGTACAAGGCTGTATGGCTAATTCCCCAAAGCCCTCCCACTCCCCTCTCCCTTGAATGGCCTCCCCTCTCCCCTCATACAATCCCCCCCTCCCCCCCCCCCCCCCTCCTCCACGTCCAGTAATCTCGCCTCCTCATCTCCTCCAGCCCTGACTCTTAACGCCTCCTCATCTATCACACAATTCCCCGCCCGTCTCAGAGCATGCACGAGGCTGCCAGCAGTGGACTTGAATGTGGTGAACGAGCCTACAAAGAGAGGCATGGACTTGTATCACTCCTTAGAATTTTCATCTCCTCCCTCCCTGCCTCTTGAACGCTTCCTCCTCCACCATGCAGTTCCCTGCTCGCCTGAGAGCGTGCACGAGGTTGCCAGCAGTGGACTTGAGCGTGGTGAACGTGCCTCAGCTGCCCCCCTCCCTGCCTCCAAAACTCCATTCATCATCTCCTCCCCCCTTGCCTCTGAAACGCCTCTTCCTCCACAACACAGTTCCCTGCCCTCCTCAGAGCATGCACGAGGCTGCCAGCAGTGGACTTGAGCGTGGTGAACGTGCCAAGGGTCGCATGGCAGCAAATGGCTTGTTCGACGAACAACACTATATCCTCAAGCTCTTCCGCTCTCTTTTCCCCCTCCTCCCCTCCCCCCTCTGCTAGTCTGCGCCTTCCTGTGTGATCCTCCTGTTCCTCTAACCTTCTACCACCCTCTAGCCTGTGTGCAGATCTCTCAACTTCCCTTTTCTCGGCTGCTGCCAGGCTGCGCCTTCTTTGTCTCACAGGAGTTTGAGGTCCAATCTGCATGCCTCCTTTCCCCCCACCACCAGCACCAGCACCAGCAACACCAGCTCCATCCCCCATATTAGCAACCCCGTTACCATTCAGGTACGACTGTCCCCTGTTAGCATACAGCCCAATCTCCTCCGTTAAAATCGCTCGCGCTGCGGCGTTTACCCTATCCATAATCCCGTCTACAGTGAAAAGCTCAACAGGAAATTCCCCGAGGTGCTCGAGGAAGGTTCCTTTCCACGAGGCCTTGGGAATATCAGTCATAAGGAAGAGCGGGAACTTGAGGGGAGGGGCGTGGGCTTTCGGGTTGCGCTTAAGCATCTCCTTTAGCGTCGCCTCCGCATCCCTGGTGAATGGAGAGGGGACGGGTGGGGCACAAGGACAGAAGGTCGACAATGTCAGTGATACTTAAGAGTGATGCTTAAGCAAGCACGAGTGGGGAAAAGGACCGAATTTCAACGAGTCAAGGTGCTCCGGAAGGTTCGTTTCCATGAGCCCTGTTTTGAGGCGCCTCAAAGGTGCTCCAGGAAGGTTCCTTTCCACGAGGTCTTGGGAATGTCGGTCATAAGGAAGAGCGGGAACTTGAGGGGAGGGGCGTGGGCATGCGGGTTGCGCTTAAGCATCTATTTTAGCGTCGCTTCCGCGTCCCTGGTGAGAGGAGAGAGGATGGGGTGGGAGAAAGAAATCTTTAAGCGTCACACTGGTGCTTACACGAGGACGAGCAAAGAAAGTAACTTGTTCCCCCCTCTGCCACACTCTACCTCTCTTCAAAATCTCACAGAACAAAGAATCGCAACAAAACACTTACTTGAGAGTGTTTTTTAGCGCCTTGACGAACATGCCATCCGTGCCCCGCACTTGCATGCAGCCGAAGGGTCTGCCTATGCTGTTGTATATGAAATCCCGAGCCAGATCCATTATGGGGGGCGTGAAGGGCATTGACACAGGGGCCTGGCACCAAGGGAAGGGAAGATGGGAAGTGAAGTGGAGATAGCGTAGAGTGTGTCAGAGGCGGCCTATGCTGCTGCATATGAAGTCACGAGCCAGATCCATTATAGGTGGGGCAAAGGGCATTGACACGGGTGCCTGCAAGCATAGGTTGGAGTTGGAGGGAATCAACACGGGTCCCAACCAAGGCAAGGTCGACAGCGCCCTCTTGGTGTTGCATTTTTCTCACCTCTCGTGTCACCCCCACCCACCTCTCTGATTCCTTGCACATGATCGTCCCACTAAAGGTTGTTGTACTCTCGTTTATCACCCCACTTAACTCACTTACTACCCAACCCACCGCTCTCAACCCACCTCTCTGATCGCTTGCACACGGTCGTCCCACTCCAGGTTTATGTCTGCTATGCGAGGATGGAAGAGCGATGGGAAGGCCAACACCTGATGGGACACAGGGGACGGAAGAAAAAGAAAAGATGAGGGAAAAACATCATACAGAAGAGGAGGGCATGTGAGTGGAGGAAAGGGAGGAGCGAATATGAGAAGAGCAAAGAGATGCAATGACTGTGGAGAAAGAGGAACGGAACTGGCTAGCTACGTTGGCGCCTCAACGCATTCTGTGCGAATCGCATATAATGTGAACTTGTGGATGTGCACCCACCTTGCTGTCCTTGGCAGGGGACGAATCCCACAGAGTAGAGAAGATATTGAGCGGCACGGGTTGTGAGGTGAGGTGAGGTGAGGTGAGCTGAGGTGAGCTGAGCTGAGCTGAGCTGAGCTGAGCTGAGCTGTAGCGAGGCACAGAGAGCGCACTATTTCCCTCTCTTCAGCACAGCACCCACCTTGCTGTCCTTGGCAGGCGAGGCATCCCCCAGAGTGGAGAAGATATTGAGAGGCACGGGCTCGTTGCGATTGTGCTTCACATTGATGTGTCTTCTTACCACCAATGATGTGACACTACACTACACACGTAACAGTGTTGGAGAGTCCTCTCCATCCCACAGCACCCACCTTGCTGTCCTTGGCAGGCGACAAATTCCCAAGAGTGGCAAAGATGCTGAGTGGCATGGGCTCATTGCGGTTGTGCTTCACGTTGACATTATTGCAGCACCGGTTGTTAGTCCTCCGCACTAGCACCCACCTTGCTGTCCTTGGCAGGGGACGAGTCCCCCAGAGTGGCAAAGACATTGAGAGGCACGGGCTCGTTGCGGTTGTGCTTCACGTTGATGTGTCTTCTTACCATCGCATGTATGACCGTGTTTTAGCCCTTCCAGAAGCACGTACCTTGCTGTCCTTGGCAGGCGAGGCATCCCCCAGAGTGGCAAATACATTGAGAGGCACGGGCTCGTTGCGGTTGTGCTTCACGTTGATGTGTGCAAAGGCCGGCACCGCTGGCTCCTTCTCCCCCACTGCTGCCACCAGGTCCTTGAGACTTGATGCATGCGGGGAGGGAGGAAGGGAGGGGGAAGAGGGAGGGAGGAGATGGATGGCAGGGGCATGGGCGGGAGAAAGAGCACCGTTTGTTTCAAGTTGATGTGCGAAAAAAAAAAGTCAGTACTGCTGGCCTTCTCTCTCCCACTGTTGCCTCTAGGTCCTTGCAAAAATGTGATACTCATACTCCTCATCACACCACAGTCCACCGCACTGCACCATGGATGGACTTACCTTGCATAATTGCTGATCGTCCAGGGAGTGTCCTTGCACGTGTTGCCAATGGAATACACCACCCCCTCGTACTCGCTTCCTGATGCGCCCCTAGCTTTGCAAGTTTGCACTGCACCGCATTCCACTGCATTGCACCATGCACATACCTTGCATAATTGCTAATGGTCCAGAGAGTGTCCTTGCACGTGCTGTTGATCGGAAACAGCACCCCTTGCTGCCTCCACTTTTCACTCATCCCCCCTTGAGCCCCCAACTTTGCATTGCATTGCATTCCACCGCACTGCACCGCATTCCACTGCATTGCACCGTGCACATACCTTGCATAATTGCTAATGGTCCAGAGAGTGTCCTTGCACGTGCTGTTGATCGGAAACAGCACCCCTTGCTGCCTCCACTTTTCACTCATCCCCCCTTGAGCCCCCAACTTTGCATTGCATTGCATTCCACCGCACTGCACTGCATTCCACTGCACTGCACCGTGCACATACCTTGCATAATTGCCAACGGTCCAGAGAGTGTCCTTGCACGTGTTGTCAATCGGAAACAGCACCCCCTCCTTCCTCCATTTCTTACTTGCCCCTCCCTGCGCCCCTAGCTTTGCCCCGCACTCCCACATGCACTTGTCATCCTGAAGAGTGGGTGGGTGGAACAGGAGGAGGAAGGAAAAAAGAAGAAGAAGAAATAAAAAAAATGAAATTTCTCGCTTGCAAATTCATTTGTTCCTCTGTCCCCTTAGCTGAGCCCCCCACTCCTACATGCGCTTGTCGTTCTGCGGGGACGGAGGGGAGAGGAGAGAGTGAGTGACAGTGTGCGTGAGAGTGAGTGAGTGAATTTTGGGTTTGTCTCAAGAGTTTCACACTCTCACATGCACTTGTCGTCCGTTTTTTTAGAATTCTCAAAAAACAGATTCCTCTTCACACTCTCACATGCACGTGTCGTCCAGTGGAAGAGGAAGAGGGAGTGAGTGACAGTGTGTGTGTGTCACTTTTGAGAATGTTGCCGGGAGAGCAGTGAGCAGCAATGCAGTGAGAAATGCGCAAGGAGCGGTTCGCAGAGAGCAGAGAGCAGAGAGGAAAGAGGAGAGAGGAGCAGAGGAGCAGAGGAAAGGGAGGAGCCATGAGGAGCAATGAGCACCTTATGTGAGTGGGGGTCGTGGTGCCGCCTGTGAGTCAGCTGCTGCCGACACGTACCTTGCAGTGAGCAAAGAGCAAGAGCTAGGGCAAGTGGCAGGGAGCAGCGAGAAAAGAGCAGCAAGCAGAGAAGATGCATGAGGAGCAGAGAGGAGCAATGAGCACCTTACGTGAGTGGGGGTCGTGGTGCCGCCCGTGAGTCAGCTGCCGACACGCGCCACCGTAGCAGGCAGGCGCCACGTCACAGTGGCAGAACCGGGCGGCAAAGTGCCGCAGATCGATGGTGCGGATGAAAGCGGGCGGCAGAGTCTTGAAATCGAGCACATCAGCCATGGACACATAGCCCTGTGTGTGTGTGGTTCAGGGAGAGAGGGTGGGAGAGGGTGGGAGAGGGTGGGAGAAGGTGGGAGAAGGTGGGAGAGGGTGAGCGAGAACATCGGGCATGGTTCGGTACGTAGCTCTGGGGATGTTTGCAAATGGGATGGGCACACGGGGATGGGCACACGGGGATGGGAACACGGGGATGGGAACACGGGGATGGGAACACGGGGATGGGCACACAGGGGAATTTTTTGAGACGTCTCAAAACACTCCTTTTTTCACGGGGGGAAATGGTAAGTGCTGCCTTCACCCATGCTTCAGAGCCCATGCCTCGCTCCCCTCTTGCTCACCTTCCCCCCTCGCATCATGTCAGAGTAGTGCTCCCATGCATCATGCCGCGTCCGATCCGGCTTGGTGGGGGGTTCAATCTAAAACCAGCACACACCCTCTCTTATTCCCACCCTTCCCCCTCCCCCTCTCACCTTCCCCCTCCCCCTCTCACCTTCCCCCTCCCCCTCTCACCTTCCCCCTCCCCCGCTCACCTTCCCCCCGCGCATCATGTCAGAGTAGTGCCCCCACGTGTCGTGCCGCGTCCCATCCCGCTTGGAGCGGTTGAATCCAAACTCAGCTTTCCCTCATCTATGCACACACACACACACACGCACACACACACACACACACACACACACACACACACCCTCCTCTCCCTTTTCTCACCTTCCCCCCGCGCATCATGTCAGAGCAGTGCCCCCACGCGTCATGCCGCGTCCGGTCCGGCTTGGTGGGGTTGCGGTCGCACCGACCGATGCCAGACGACTTGGCAAAGTGCGAGAGCTTGGGCGGGATGATGAGCGTTCTGTTCAGGAGACCTGCTAGGCGAAGGCCCCACACAAGTTGAATCACCTGAAAGAAGTGGAACGGGGGGAAAGAGGACGGAAAGAGGTCGCACCGACCGATGCCAGACGACTTGGCAAAGTGCGAGAGCTTGGGCGGGATGATGAGCGTTCGATTTAGGAGACGTGCTAATTGAAGGCCTTACACAAGTTGAATCACTTTATAAGGGGGACATGGCGAGCAAACCTGGTAGTTCTGAAGTTTTGCAAACCTGGTAACTCAAAAGGCCTGGATATTTCGCCCACCTGGTTACCAAATCCGCCATGACTGGCGAACCACATGAACTTCTCATCAGGCCGCAGCACCCACTCGTCTCCCCCCTTCCTCCCCCCATGCTGCGCCTCCCCTTCCCCCTCACCTCCCCTTTCCCCCTCGCCTCCCTCTCCCCCTCCTCCCCTTCCCCCTCCCCCTGGCTCGTTCCTAGTAGTCGGACCTTCCCCTTCTGCTAATGGCTGAAATTTCGCTCCTTCCCCTTCCCCGCCATCCCTCCCATCACTTCCCCCGCCGTTGCTTTCCCCTTCCGCACTCCCTCTCCCCTCCTCCCCCCCTCGCCCCATCAACGCAGCAGCTGCAGCCGACTCTGCTTCCCCCAGGCCAACCGTTCCCCTTCCCCCTTCCCCCCTGCTTCCCCCACTGGCTCCCCCATTGCCTGGCATCAGCACTCGTAGTAATGACGTGTCCCCTTCCCCTCTCAATACATTTACACTTCCCCCTCTCTCCCCCCTCCCCCCAACCCCTTCCGCCACCCCCTGCATTCCCCCACGCTCTCTTCTCCCCCCCATTCCTTCCCCCCCGCCTGTCACTCCCCCCCGGCTCTTCCCTTGCACGACAGATGGGGGGAGGGATTGGCGGAGGGATGGGGGGAGCGAGACGCCTAGGTTGCGCCAGCAGATGGGGAAGGCGGGGGAGGAGGGGGAGAGGCAGCCATTGCGATGCAGCAGGAGGGTAACGAAGAGGAGGAGGAAGGAGAAGGCGATTTCGAGGAGAGTGGCGAGGCGGAATCGACACATTGACCAGGGGGCTGGGGAGAGTGGGTGGGAGAGGAAGGGGGGAGGGAAGGAAGGGGGGAAGTGGGGAGTCAGGGGGACGAATGCTTGAAGACCAATGGCACCGGCAGGGGAGGAATAACAACGAAATCCGCGACCTGCTCGAACAGTCTCCGTAAGGCAAGGCTCGGTGTTCTTCTCCCTGAAAGGCGTCAAGGCAAGTACATAGGTACTACACCTAAGTCGCTCTTGAGAGGGCCAAGCACATAATCTCAAGTATATATAGGGTACTACGGTCCTCACCTGATGTGAAAGGTGAGCTGGAGGATGCTGCTTGCGCCGCTGACGGGCTGCCACGTGGCAACCACGATCGCTGCCGCCCCACACGGAGCTTCCTCCCCGTCCCCCCGCCACTCCCGCCGCCTCCGCCGCCGCCGCTGGCGCTACCGGGGCTAGGAGTTAAGCTCGCCTTGGCTGCAAGGTTGCTTTTAGCTGTGAAGCCGGTTCCCGCGGCGGCTGTTGCGGCGGCAGTGGCGGCTGACGGACTGCCGGCAGGGGAGACGGACAGGCTTCTGGACCGGCCGCCGACGGCAATGGCGACGCCGGCGCCGTCATTTGCGGCGGAAACCGCGGCGGCGCCGCCGGAGACGGAGATTGCAGGGAGGGCGGAAATTACGCCATCGGCGCGCAGTCGATCGGCGGACATGGATTCCGCGGCAGACATTAGGTCTGCCGCAACGGCTTCGGACGCGGCGCGAGCGACCGTCGCGATGGATAGCGGCGGCGGCTCGTCATCTTCCGCGCGTTGCGCGGCGGATTTCGCGGCCGCACGTTTCGACTTGGGATTCTTCTTCGGCATATTGACTATTTTTTTTATGAAGCTAACGCGCTAAATTCACTCAACGAAAATTAAAAGGACTGCGAGTGGCGCTCACTGATCATGACGCTGGTCTCTCTGGTATACAGCGGCAACAGCAGCATGCTTCTAGCGACACAGGAGAATCTAAAGAAAAAACCATCTCACTGATGGATGTGGTTGAAGAGCGCTCAGCAGCACATGTGTCCTGTATACTGAACTTCGAAAGTTGGTTGGTGAGAATACCGCCGATCACCTGACAATACCGCTGGCCCTCAATATGAGCTGGTACACCTAATTGCGAGTGGCTGGAATGCGTGTACGGAGGTGTCGCGGAGGGTTCCTTCTCATTGTTACAAAAAGCAAGTGCATTTATAAGCTGCTCTGTACGTTGTACCGCGTGACACTACAGGCAAAGAACGGGACATTGTGTCGGGGCTTTCAGCTCCGCAACCAATCAAACGGCTTCTCGGAGACACCTCCTTCTTGTAGAGAATTGAGATAAGGATAAAAGAGTATGATTGCACAATAGAATAAGACAAGAGTAAACAGTGGAATTGTAGTAAATGAGGATGAGCTTGATAGAAGAGAAGATGATACTTAGAAATTGGGACTATAAAGAGAAACTTGTGTAGGGTGGAATGCTTGATGAGATAAAAAACACAAAAATGGAGAAAGAGAGTATGAGCTTGTTGAGAGAATAAGAGAGGGGATAGGCACTTACTTAAATGAATCTTACTAGGGATAGTTGTAGAGGTGACTTGTAGGAATGGCTTGGTCTTGAGAGCTTTACTTGAAGAAGAACATCAAGCTTGGTGTTGGGTGATGATCCTTCCTCAAGCTTGTAGGAAGTAATGAACCTTATACTCAAGTAGAGTATGAGGTGATTACTCTTCACTTGATGCTTAACTTTGTAGACTAATGAGAGACACTTTGTGAGCATAAACTTATATTGAAAGAGGTATAGTACAAGCCTTATAGATCCATGAGGGATACATAGGCATGCATAGAGAGAGTAACCATCAATGGTAGCCTTGGAAGAGAGTTGCATGAGAGTATCAACTTTTGGAGACATAGAACTTGGTTGCTAGTGAGGAGCCTTTGTAGTAGAAGAGGAGCTTGAAGGAGAAGCTTGGAAATGAGCTTGGTGAAGAAGCTTGGAATGCATTGTTGTCATTGAAGAACCTTCTTGAGAAGTTGTAGAGATGCTTGATGTAGATGAATAGTATTGGAGCATGTGATGGTGGTTGAGCACTTGATGAGTTGGAGATGTAAGCCTTGTTGAGTTGGAAGAGAGCTTAGTGAGTTGGATAAGGATGAGTGGAGGAGATGATGAGTTTTGTTGCCTTGTAATAGGAGGTGATGGGATAATCATGAAGTCCTTAGGGATGAGGTGGCAACTTTGGTGACTTGGGAAAGGAATGATGGAAGGAATAAATGAGAGGCATGTGGAGGTTGATGACTAGGAAGTGGAAGCATGTGCTTGAAGGCACATGGGAGGAGGATAATTGGAGGAGGTAGATGACTTGGGTAAACTTTGATGAGTAGGAAAGGAAAGCACATGGAAAATCATGAGGAGTCATGTGCCTTATGGTGGGACTTGAGGATAAGTATGGGAAGTTGGTTTGAATATTGGTTGAGTTGGACTAGGAAAGTCTATGGTGGTTGGGAGTAGTTAAAGAGGTGGTTGATAGGCTTGAGTTGGAGAGGATGAGTTGGAAAAAAAGGAGTTTGTAACTTGAGTGGTTGGAATAGGCTTTGGAAGAGTTGAGTGGTTTGGATGGGCTCTTAGGAAAATGTGTCGAGGGTGTTTTGAGGGGAAGGGGTTGGAGTGGCACAGTAGCGTGGCACGTGAAGAGCGTGCCATTCACAACACTCCCCCTCACTGCAAGCCCGTACCCTCAAATCCGACTGCTGGGACTAACCCGGCTTGAACTCGGTTGTTGATGAAGATGTCGCGTGCAACGACCTTGGTGAGGAAATCCGCCGCTTGCTCACTCGTGCGGCAAAACAGGGGCTCAATTATTTTCTGCTCCACAAGCTCCCGGACGTAGTGGTACTGCGTCGCGATGTGCTTGGTCCTCCCATGGAAGACTGGGTTCTTGGTGAGAGCGATCGTCGACGTGTTGTCGATGAAGATGGGAGTAGGGCTCTCTTGTGGGAGGTCAAGCTCCTTCAATAGGCCTCTCATCCACACTGCTTCTCGGGCTCCTTGGGTCGCAGCCATGTACTCTGCCTCCGTGGTTGATAAAGCCACACAACTCTGCTTCTTTGACTGCCAAGAGATGGCTGCCCCTCCAAGCATGAAGATGTATCCTCCAGTGGACCTGCGAGTAGGGATATCCCCAGCCCAATTTGCATCCGTGAAGCCATACAGCATGCTTGCACCCTCAAACCCTTGAAAGAGGAGACCAAAGGAAGAGGATGATTTGAGGTAGCGCAGGGCACGAAGTGCCCCACGCTGATGCATGCGAGTAGGTGATGTCATGCATTGAGAGAGCATGGCAACGGTATGGGCAAGATCAGGACGGGTGCAGATGGAGGCGTACATAAGGCTGCCCACTTGGCTCTGGTAGAGTGAGAGCTCAAGGGGTGTGATGTGGGACGTGGACTGTGGTGCATAGGTGTCATGACCAATGTCCTCAGGAGGCTCAAGGCTCTCGACCTCACCCTCAAGATCAGTGACCTCTGATTCAACAGTGGAAGGGTCAATGCTTTGCTCGTGTGAGCTTGGCATGAAGTCCGAGGGGAGTGGGGTCTCAACTGGGTTGCAGTTAAGGAGACCAAACCTTGAAAGGACCTTCTCAGTGTACCTCTGCTGTGAGATGAAAAGTGACTTGGTGGTGCGGTCCCTCACGATGTTCATACCAAGGTAGTGTGAGGGCTCACCCATGTCTGTCATGATGAAGTCTTGGGTGAGCATACCTTTGATGCGTGTCAGGAGACTCAAGGATGCTGACACGAGGAGGATGTCGTCCACATAGACTAGGAGCCACAAGGACTCCCCCTCACTTGTGCGTAGGATGTACAGTGCTGCATCGAACTGTGACTTGGTGTAACCTTGGGTGAGGAGTGATACCTCAAGGGTGTGAAACCAGACTCGTGGTGCTTGCTTTAGTCCATAGAGGGACTTCAGCAGCCTGCAGACGTTGGTGGTACCATCGGAGTAACCTTCGGGCTGTACCATGTAGATCTCTTCGTCGAGCTTACCATAGAGAAAGGCATTCTTCACATCCATTTGATGGATGTGGAGATCCTTCACTGTGGCCATTACCAGGAGGCACCTGACTGTGGTGTACTTGGCTACGGCAGAGAAGGTCTCTGTGTAGTCCGTGCCTGGCATCTGTGAGAAACCTTTGGCTACCAGGCGTGCCTTGAATCGGTCCAGTGTACCGTCTCCCTTCACTTTCACTCGGTATGTCCACTTAACCTTTAGTGCTCTCTTACCAGGAGGGAGTAGTGCAAGGACCCATGTACCTTGTGCAAGGAGGCTGTTAATCTCTTCTCTCTCTGCCTTTACCCACTCTGCCCTCTCAGCGCTTGCCAGTGCTTGTTTGCGAGTGGATGGCTCAGGTGGGAGGCAACTGATGGCGTGACACATGGCGACTACCTTGCAGTCCATGCAGTGAGGATCGGCACACTTGGTTGTGACTGGGAAGCATGCACCGACTGCGAGGTTCAAGCGCTGCACTGGCTTGCGTGCTCGTTTGGGACGCTGTGAATGCTCGGTGATACCTTCGTGACTCGTGTTACCGTTAGGGATGGTTGGAGGTGCTGAAAGAGTGATTGTCTCAGGAACATCATTTGGTGGTTGAACGGGTTGAAGCGGCTTGTCTGCTGCGTCAGGGATAGTGGTTGAAGTGTTGACTGGAGGTGAAGAAGTAGATGATACGGTTGAAGACAGCTTCTCTGCGACTGGCTGCTGCTCAGGTGTTGGCTTTCGCGTTAAGGGCTGCTCCATCGAGGGTTGGAGCGAAGACGGCTCGTCGGTGAAGAGAGGCGGTGACGTGTGGTTTGGCTCATGTTGACTCTGCTGCTGCTCATGAGAAGGTGTGTTGTTTTCAGGTATAGGTGGAGATGGTGTGGTATCTCCAGCAGGTGCACTTGGAGAGGGCTCCACTGCGGGTGTTGTGGTGAGTCCTGGTGGAGCGGGGAGAGGGTCTTCGAGAGAGGGAGAAGGAGGTAGATAGTTTAACTTCCATCGAGCGAGGGACATGTCTTCATGGAAGATCACGTCCCTGCTCACAATCTCCTTGGTAAGGAGAGGGTCCCAAAGAATCCAGCCCTTGCTCTCCTTGCTCAAGCCAATGTGCACGGCCCAACGTGTCTTGCTCTCAAACTTTCCTCTCTTTTCATCGGGAATGCGGTATTGTGCCATGCACCCAAACACACGCAACATGGAAACATCGGGCTTCTTCCCATGCCATGCTTCAAATGGGGTGATACCTGAAGGAAGAGCGATGGTTGGGCGACGATTCTTGAGGTGGGCGGCATGGTTCACGGCTTCTCCCCACCATGCATCGTCCAGCTTCATGTGCAAGAGAAGAGATCTTGCAATTTCCTGCAAGGTGCGGTTGAACCTTTCGGCAATGCCGTTCTGCTGAGGGGTGTAGGGGCATGAAAGCTCTTGTGCAATGCCAATGGATGAGAGGTGATTGCGAAATGACTTACTCATGTATTCTCCCCCTCTGTCCGAGTGCAGAGTCTTGACTTGAAGGCCGGTTGTGTTCTTGATGTGTTCGTGCCACACTTTGAATGCTTCGGGAACAAGGTCTTTGGACTCAAGAAGGAAGACCCATGCAAAACGTGTCTTATGATCGATGAGGGTCATGATGAATCGCTTGCCCGTGCGACTGAGCGTGCGAGCA